GCAAGAACTGGCATTCCAGAACCTGGTGACCTATTGTTGTACTGGACTAACAGCAAGGACGTTTTTCCAGATGTTCAGTCGAAATCTGGCTTCCTGTAACTTCCACACTGAAACAGGCTGAAAGGCACCCTCTGCTATTACTCTTCCCAGTCCTTCCTTGTCCGTTTCCCCGAGAGTACAGCAAAAAAGAGATAATATTTGGATTTTGCAGGGAGTGGAAGGGACAATTTGGACAAATTTCTCTCTAAGATTGAGGTGCAATTTGACCCAAGTCATCCTCCAGTAACACAGAGAGATTGCCACTCTGGATGGAGCTTGGAAGTTCCCAGTTACTACGGTAATAACTAGTTACTTTGCAGAACTTGAAAAACTTGTCTAGTTGGGCTGTAGCTCTCAGAATCCACCCGTCAGCGTGGACACTTTTCCTGCAGATTAGGGAGGATTCAGAGAATTGTACCCTGTTTCCCCGAAAATAAGACCTAACCTGAAAATGAGCCCTAGGATTATTTTTCAAGATGCTCATAATGTAAGCCCTATCCCAAAAATAAGCCTGATTTAAGTGAAACCCCGCCCTCCACCATAGCAACCAGAAGACGGCATGACTGTATTTGAATAAATGTAGATTGTCGTATATGGAAAAAAATAAAACATCCCCTGAAAATAAGCCCTACTGCGTTTTTTGGAGCAAAAATTAATATAAGACCCTGTCTTATTTTTGGGGAAACACGGTAGGTAGTGGTGGTGGGGAGAAACGTTCCAGGCTCTAAGTTATTTGCAATTGGTGTCTCCACCACCAATAACTAAGATATAAGCACATTTCATTAAAGCCATCATAGTTTGGGACCCCAATACCTGTAGGAACATCTCTCGCTAAGGTCGTCTACTTGTGCCAGCCGTTTCCCCGGGCTTTGATGCTGCAGGTAACCACCCTGAGCGAGGCCCAGAAAACTGTAACTGGGAACGGGGCCTTCTCGGTGGTGGCTACAACCCTTTGGAACGTTTTGCCTGTGGATGTACGCCAGGCCTTCTCTTTATAACCTTTCAAAAGCTTGTGAAAACTAGAGCCTTTTAAAGAGGGCTTTGAGAACACATTCCCCTCACAGTAGATTTTTAAAATGTTATCATGTTTTGTTGTTGTTGTTGCTGTTGTTAAGTTGTTAAGTTGTGTGTGACTCTTCATGACCCCACGGACCAGAGCACGCCAGGCTCTCCTGTCTTCCACTGCCTCCCGGATTTGGGTCAAAGTCATGTTGGTCGCTTCCATGACCTGTCCTTACATCTTGTCCTCTGTCGTCCCCTTCTCCTCTTGCCGTCACACTTTCCCAACATCAGGGTCTTTTCCAGGGAGTCTTCTCTTCTCATGAGATGGCCAAAGGATTGGAGCCTCAGCTTCAGGATCTGTCCTTCCAGGGAGCACTCAGGGTGGATTTCCTTCAGAACGGATAGGTTTGTTCTCTTTGCAGTCCAGGGGACTCTCAAGAGTCTCCTCCAGCACCACAATTAGAAAGCATCCATTCTTCGTCGGTCAGCCTTCTTTAGGGTCCAGCTCTCGCTTCCATACATCACTACAGGAAAAACCATAGCTTTGACTAAGGTTTCATGTTTAATACTGTTATCATGTTTAATTCTTTCATTGACTTGGTAAATAAAGGGAAAATGTCCCTCCCTTTGAGACATAATTTTCAGTTAAGAGTTAGAGATGTGCAGCCTCACCAAACAGTGGAGAAGGAATAGCGCACGATTCAAGTGCAGGCATGTGGAGGCTGCCGTGAGCTGCGGGGTGCCGTTCTGTGCATGTCGGGGCCATGGAACAGTGGCTGAGAGAAGGAGGTGTTTTGCACCATAAGCCAATAGTCTCAGTTGGGTTTTTTGTTGTTGTTCTTAACGATGTCACCAGAAGTAATTGTTTTAGTTAATTTTCAGATATGGAAAATGGAGGGGATGGAATTCGGTTTTCAAAGTTCCATTGAAATAAAGGGGATCCGTGTGATCATTAGAAAATACAAATGCCAGAGTAGGCAGTACCTTTATAGACCACTAAAAAAAGAATATCATTTTACAGTACAATATGCAAGCTTTCGTAGATCAGAAAGAACCACTTCGTCAGGCTTGTACCAGTGTGAAGAGCTTAAAAGTCTGAAAGTTTATGGTATGATGGCTTTTGCCAGGAATGTCCCTCTTAGAGGTAGAGTCCAAAAGTTCACGACAGGATGGATGGGGCCAAACGCCCCGTAATTTCTGAGATGTAAGTCAAGAAAGAGGCAGGCTGCTGTTGTATTCAAGCTGTGGCAGCTGTGGGTTGGATCTCACACTCTTCAAACAAAGAGGCACAGGCTGTGTGTACGTTAGAATGGTAGCTAATGATTTGGGATGGAATCATAACCCCGCTAACTTGCTAAAAGAGCAAACCAACCACTTTCCAAGCTCTGGTGCCACTTATTCAGGACGGGAGGTAGCAATGCACGAAATCCTGCTCCATCTTTTTTCTCCTTGATTCTGAAAATGGCGCAGTCTCAGCTAGTCCTTGTTCAAAGCTAAGAGTGGAACCCAGGCGGTATCCTGGCTGCTATCCACGGCTCTGCTGACCCCCAGGCCTCAACCATGCCCCTTCTTCCCCCTGCTATTATCTCATTTGGCAGCCTGATCGGGTCCCAGCTCCTCCCCCCCCCCCGCAGCTTTGGGGTTAAATGTCAACAGGTTTGAATATAGGGCTGGACTCTTTTGTGGGTCGGTCCTCTAGCGCTAGCCAGCTCTGGGAGGGCGGTGCGCCGAGGCTGCAACAACGGCATGTGCAAACCAATGGACGGAGGCCCTTCTGCTTTTCTGGAGAAGAGAAGGGAGAGGGGAGGAATTAAATTGAAGACAGATGCCAAAAATTAGTCTCCAGAGGGGAGCATTCTCAGGCTGCGTAGGCACTGGGATTTCTTCGCTTTGTTGTTTCGTTCCGTTTGAATCTGTTACTCTTCGATAGAATCTCATTTTATCTGAGTTGTGTGTGTGTTGAAAAATGGGCTAAACACCGCAATACACACAGCAGGACGGTTAAACTGGGGTTTTCTCCCAATTGAAGAAATCCTAGTGGTTTGTCCAGCAGTTAAGCCCATCACTCCTCTATCCATTATACCACACTGCGTACCTCGTAATTCGTTTACTTGGGCCTCCATCAAGTTGCAACTCAACCAGAGTTGACCCATTGACTCATCTGCAAAATAGTAAATGAGCGCATGTGTAAATCTAATTGTGATGACATGGGTCTACTCTGGTTGGGTCTAGCCATTGGATCCAGGCTTCGTATTACGACTTTTCAGTTGTTTTAAGTATTTGGCCGGGGAGCCGGAAGTTGGGAGTTCAATTCCCCGCTGTGCCTCCTTGTGAGTAGAGCCAGCCTCCGTAGCCTTGGGCAAGTTGCACCGTCCCAGGGTGACCCAAGAAGAAGGGAGCAGGAAACCACTCCTGAGTCTTCTCTACCTGGAAAACCCCGGAAAGGGTCACCAGAAGTCAGAATTGACTTGACGGCACATAATTAGGGATTATAATCATTTTTAAAAAACACTGTCGTTCAGCTTTCTCCCCATGTGGTAGCTCTCCAGGATGGAGATAAAACTCAAGCGCCCAGGTCCTAAGCCCAGATAAGCACTCCCATGAGGCTGTGAGAACGTGTTTGCACGAGGGGCTCCGAGCCCCGAGGAGATGGTGCTCACCTGGCGGCTGCCTCGGCCGAACAGGTTGGGCAGGTTTGCTTGTGTTTCAGACACACCGCAACACCTTCTCTCTGGAGCGGAGGCGAGGGGAGCACAAAGGAACCATGTCTGCACGTACTGTGGGAAGTAAACCTCTCCCAATACATGGCCAAGTCTCTCTCTCTCTCTCTCTCTCTCTCTCCCTTTTTTGAAAAGAAGATATTTCGCATTCCCCAGTCTAAACAGAAAAGGGGTTGGCAGGAATTTGGTCCGACTCTGCACCGCCAAAGAAGGGCATACCCAGTGATTGTTGTCGTGGGTCTTGTTCCGTGTCGTCAAGTTGCTTCCAACTTATGCCAGCTCTGTGAGTTAAGTACGCCCTGCTCCCACCCCAAAGGTCTGGTCATTCGTTGCTCATCCTTCGATCCTGCAAACACAAGGCTGTAGTGGCTTCTCTCACTGGCCAGGATTCCTTTTGGTGAATTATGTGTGCATAAGCGAAATTGCATAACTCGCTGTGACAAACGGATAGATACCTCCTATCAGAACTGGGGCTTTGTTAGTGAGTTAATCCATCTCATGTCCAGTCTTCCTCTTTTCCTACTGCCTTCAACTTTGCTAGCGCTATTGTCTTATCCGGTTACCTCTTTATCATCTCACGATATGCCCCGAACGTGATGACCATTCTTGGCTGCCAGTTATAATTCTGGAATGACTGGAGAAGTTTTATTCCCCGGTTTCCCTTTGTGGAGTTCTCATTTCTAATACTGTATTTGCTTTTGAAAACTAAGTAAGGGTGTTTCTGAATAAAAATACATTTCTGCAGCCTTCCTCAGGTTGAAGCAACCCTAAGCCTTCCTAATTTTTCCATGCTCTGCATAAGCACTAGAACTTCTTTCAATGACTGAGCTAAATTTGGAGCATTAATATTAGCAATTCCCCCCCCAAAAAAAAACCAGTGTTTCTGGGCATGTGCAGAGAATATGACCCCACAGACCAGGCCAAGCAAGAGCAGGCTTGGAGCTTGGCATAGCTTGTTTTGTTGTCCTAATTAAGCATTGCATTAATTAATTGAGCAATTGAGCAATTAAGCATGGCATGCTCTCCTCCTCTCCAGGAACCAAGGGGTTCTGGTTCCCAGTATTCCGTCTGGCTCCTTTCCTAGAGAATCCTAGCATCCGAGGGGCTGATTTCTGGCCCCTTGACCTTGAACCCAAAATGTCCTGGAAGTGGACAAAAGAGAGAAGGGGGGGACTTTTGCTGCTCCTCTGACCCACCCAGTTGCTTCCTTTGGCTGACCCTCCCATTCCACCCCTACAGGTTCCAGAACGAGGGCGGCTACGTCTTGTACCCCCAAATCGGCGACCGCTTGGACCTCATCTGCCCACGCTCGGTGCCCTTGGGGCCGTTCTCCACCGAGGACTATGAATATTACAAACTCTACCTGGTTCAGACAGAGCAGGCCGAGCGCTGCGAGATCCTACGGACCCCCAACCTGCTGCTGACCTGCGACCGGCCCGAGCACGACATGCGCTTCACCATCAAGTTCCAGGAGTACAGCCCAAACCTCTGGGGCCATGAGTTCAAGACCAACCAGGATTATTACATCATCAGTAAGTTGTGTGTGTGTGAGTTGATGTTGTTGTTGTTTTCCCTCCCCCTCACATCTTTTTCTTTCTGAACGCTAAGATCTAAAAGGGTGCACCCTGTACCCAATCCTGCACAGGACTGGAAGGGAGAGAGAGAGAGAGATTAACACACCCAGCCCTGGGGATCTCTGTAGGCGTTCGGCTCTTATTTTTATAGGCATCACAACAGCCGTCTCCCGGGTGCAAGACCTGATGGAAGGCAGATTCAGAAGAACAGGAAGACGGGGTAAAAGTGTTGGAAAAGAGAGTATGAAAGGAAAGTTGAAAACAGGAGGAGAAGAGAGAGAGATTGAGCTTGATTTGGGTCATGCGCTCGGGCCCTGTGGGTGCTTTGATTTTCATTTATTACTAATTCACCTTTAGTCCACCAAGCTAAATTGCAAGGTGGCTGGCCAAACTAGAAAACCAGGGCAAAGAAAATGATGAAACCCAAATACAAATAGAGCCCAAAAAAACAAACTTAAAAAAAAAACCACCCAAGTGTCTATAACTAAATATGCAACCAGAACTAAAAGCAAAGCATGGAAATGTTGTTTTTCTGGACTTAGCAATGTAAAGGTGTTCTTACCTGGTTCTTTTTTTCCCCCTGACCTGGTCACAGGTCAAAGGGCTTTACATGATTGTTTGTGGATTGTTTGCAAAGGGCATTTTAGAATACCAACCCAGCCCTGGTGTTCGGCTACATTCAAAGCAAAGGGATGCCCAGAATTGGACTTAAGAGCACGTCTCTGTGGTTGTCAGGATCACAAATAAAATAAAATAAAATAAAGTTGGTTCTTCAGACGTCTTCTCTCTGGACATTTTAGGGCTAATTTTAGATGAGAACGGGCTGAAGTTGGTTGTTCTGGAGGCAGAGGAACACCCTTTGTTTGCCCCCCCAATTATTCAAACCTTGGTGGGTGCTTTTAGCTTTCGTGCCCGATCCAGGTGAGCGTGTGTGGAATACAGGTGAGCACAAATGTCAGCCCCTGCCTAACTTGAGGCCTCCTCACTTCTCTTGCCTTCCCCCCCCGCCAAGTGTCCCTCAACATATGTAGGGCAGGAGAAAGCAAAGAGGCCAGCAAAGATGGGACCCCCAGTTCCTTGGTAGAACCCTCTTCCCTTTCGGGGGGGGGGCAGGGGCACGCCTTGCATGGGACGAAGGATGAAGACACAGCCAACATATGTAGGGCAGGAGAAAGCAAAGAGGCCAGCAAAGATGGGACCCCCCAGTTCCTTGGTAGACCCCCCTTCCCTTTCGGGGGGGCAAGGGCACGCCTTGCATGGGACGAGGGATGGAGACACAGGTCCCTTCGCGAAAATGCGCTGTCTCTTACCATAATCCGTTTAGTAATCCACACTCGGTTAGCCAGTCATGAAGGGAAAGCCTGCCTGAAGAGAAAGGTATTTTGCCCACTTGTGGAAGGAGAGCCAAGACGGGGCCAGGCTGGCCTCCAGTGGGAGGGAGTTCCAGAGTCTAAAGGAGCAGCCACAGAGAAGGCTCTCTTTCCTGTGTCCCCACCAGCCGCACCCGTGAAGGTGGCAGGACCGAGAGAAAGGCCTCTCTTGATGATCTTAACAACCAAGCCAGCTCATAATGGGAGACACCAACAACCAAGCCAGCTCATAATGGGAGACATCATCTTAGAGATATTCTTCCTTCTCCTTATCCAAGGTAAATGTATGGGTCTAGGAGCAGGAAGGCGGGAGAAAGCAGGTGTGAACAAAGCAGAGCCTTGCTCAGCCAAATCTCAACTATTTACATACATATATATATATATATTCCTGGAACGTCTTGCTGAATTCTCCCACCTCAAGCCCAAAACAGGAGAAGCACCATGTATATTATACCAGAATAGGTTATGAATAACGGGAGGACAGGGCTCTGCCCCATGCCAGTCTACAGTCTATCTAAGCAAGGCAGGTGGAAGGGTAAACAAAGAGTAAACAGGACAACCTCTCTGTTTGCAAGGGTAAATAGATATCCTATTCCTGCTGTTCTACATGCTTGTCCCTCCAGACACTTTGGCCTACATCTCCCATCAGCCCCACCGGCCAAGGCCAATAGAATAATGACGTTCACAGGGGCCCATAAGGCTAGGCCAATATAGCCTAGGTCGTTGCCCCATTTCCTCTTGAATGCCTCAAGTTTTGGAGGGCTCATCCCCTTCCGAGGTCGTAGGTTCCCTTGTCGTACTGCTCTAACAGTTGAGATGTTTTTCACAGAACAACTGAGTTGGAAGGGGCCTCAAAGGCCATCTAGTCCAACCCCCTTCCTGCTCAAGGCAGGAACACAAAGCCAAGGAGATCTGCCAGGGGGTTGTCTAAGTTTCTCTTGCGTGCCTCCAGGGCTGGAGTCACGGATTCCTTTGCTGCACTGCTCTAACAGTTGAGAAGTTTTTTCCCCCTGATGTTCATCCTAAATCTGGCTTCCTGTCGCTTGAGCCCATTATGATGCATCCTGCACCCTTGGAGGACGGGAGAACCGATCCTGCCCCTCCTCGGTAGGACAGTCTTCCAAGTCTTTGAAATGGGTTCTCCGGTCAACCCTTTTTTGCTCCAGGCTAAACCAGCCCAGTTCTTTTTCCATCTTTCCCTGATCCTCCTCGTTGTCCTCCCCCCCATGAACGTGCTCCAATCGGTCAGCCTCCTTCTTGAGGCGTGGGGTCCGCAACCATGAGAGGTCTCGTCACCCTGGCGGTAGGATGCATGGCTGGAAACAGTGGCTTTCCTGGGACAGGGTTGGTTTCAAAGACGTCCAAGCCCGATAAAGTTTGGTGGCCCCCCCAGGGCCGCGCGCCTGGGCTACCATGTTCTGATCCGGCTGTGTTTTTGCAAACCCCCCATGATACGGGTTGCAGCCGGCCAGATCTTCGGAAGAAGACGAGGTTGGCCTTCAAGGAGAGCCCAAGGAGAGCCAACCGGCTATTCTTATGAAGCCCTTTTGACCTGCAAGGCACGAGGAGAGGAGGGTGCGTCCGAGGCAGGGCTAGTCAGCCCCTTTTCGAAGGGGTGGAGAAAGGGAGTCCATTAGGGACCCCCCCTCCTCTCCTCTCCCCTTTCCTCTCCCCACCCCACAGCATCCCCGTCGTCGCTGCATCAGCTCCGGCTGCCTAGGGTGGCCCTTCAGCCATCGCCATGGCAACTGTCTCCCAGCAAACCTGTACGAGCCAGAGACTTGGCAACCAGGGGCTGGTTCGCCGCCAGCCCCACCCACCCGTCCCCCCCCCCGGCTCCCTTTCCGCCATGGGGGGGCCCATCAAATCCAAACCCCCTTCTTGGCTCCAGGGCTCTTTGGAAAAAGGGCCCCTCGTGGCCCATGGACCACGATGGAGATGCCACCATTTCTGGGCCTGGAAAGAGGGGGGGGGGCGCCACTCTCTTTT